CAGGGCTGCGAGTACGCAGCCCACCCGGTGCTCGCCCCGATCTGCCCCGCTAACCGTTCCTAACCGAGGCCCGGGGAAGATAAACTGAGGCTGAGAGGGGGCGGGATCAGGCCAGGTTTGACCCTTGAAAAACCCAGGCCAGGGTGCGGCGCCCGCCCCTTAGGGGTGTGCAACTCTCGGGACAGCCTCCTTGTCCCCCCTCATTTTAACCGAGGCCAAATACTTTAAATAACTGTCCGCAGTTAGCTCGGAGTTTATCTAGATGCACGTTACTCAAGTGTCACTGGGGCAGGGGAGAGGAGATCCTGTGGCCTCCGGGATCTCCCCGCCTGCCCGGAGGCGGAATCCCGCTCCTCCCCGAACCCGTGCTGGGGCTGCCTGAACGCTGCGGGAAGTGCTGGGGCGCAGCCTGGGCTTTGGCACCTGGTCTCCGCCGCACACTCGCATTGGACGAGGCGGAAGAGACGCTGTAACGACCAGAGCGCGGTGGGGTTTGTAACTGACAGAGTGGGAAAAGGAAAAGGAAAATCTCGCAGAGCAGGAACACCCCCACACTCACACTGCCAGGCGTAGGGTGCGGGGGCTCAGTCACGAGCCTGATGCAGCCCTCGCTCCTCTGCCCGCGGGTGAGCATCCCCCTACCCTGCGATCTTTCCCAGGTCAGCTCTGCCTACGCAGGGGAGCCAGTGCCGCCCAGCGGGTTCCAGGAGAGTGGAATGTGGGGCGGTGAGAGGGGCCCCTCCCAGCCCTCGCGGTCTGCAGACCAGAGCGAAACTCAGGGATGGCTGCCCCTCTGCTCAAATCTCTGACACCTGAGGGCGGGCTCAGGCAAAAGCGCGCCCCGCTTCCCTCTTTCAACCGCAGGGCCCTGGCAAAGTGCCTAGGGGAGAGACTTCGAGAAGGTCCGGTGGCCCAAGCTTGGGTGTAGTATAGGCACCCCCGCCGGGGTCAAGGCCACGGGGACTAGGCGCAGCCGTGCCCTGGGCGGTAGTCTCCAGGAGCCACCGGGAGCTGGCGCAGATGGCCTCCGAAGGGCCTCCAACTTCCAGGCTGCCTCTTCCAGGCCTTCCCAACCCCCAGTCTGCCGGGGCCTCCCCGAAGGCAAACAGCCACGGCGACGGCAGATAAGCCAGGGGCTGTTGACAGAGGCTGCCTGCGTCCTCGTCCTCGTGGAAAGGCTCAGAGCGGACTTTGCCTTGCCGCCTCCTGGAGCAGCACAGCGCGCCGCCCAGGCCGCTTTTAGAGCCGCTGCGGCTGTGAAGGATGCGGGCAGAGGAGCGAGGGCTGCATCAGGCTGCACCTGGGGCCTAGGGCCTTGCGCCCACTGGAGGGCTCCCAGCTTGCCTTACAATCAGGCCTGCTAGGGAGGCCAGCGAAGCCTCTGCCTGCCTCCTGTGGCCCATACATGATGCTTTACCTCCTAGGAACCCTGTATAGCCTGCCCAGGGCAGGGGAGTGGGGACAGGGCAGCCTCAATTTCTTTTGTCACCTTTCCTCTAGTAGAGGGACAAGTCATGGGTAGGGAAACCCTGAGAAGCCAGGAGAGGAGTTGGAGGCTCACCCCCAAGGACAGCTGTCATCTCTATTCTTGGGCCTTGCCTGCCTTCTAAAATAATAATTGTGGGGTGTTCTAGTAGAAGAAAGGGCGTTTGGATTCTGCTCACTGGGTTTCTTCTCGCAGTGCTCCCAGATAGGTAAGGAGACCTGGATGCCATCCCCTCCTGGACTTAAGAACTCCCCCACATCACTTTTCCACTAATTATAGAGCAGAATTTAGGTTAACAGACTTCCTTTTTAAAAAGCAAATGCCCAAGGGAAAGTGCAGTCATGGGTCACTTATACCTTAGTGTAAACCACTCTATAAATTTAAACTGATTGCTCTCTCCACCACCACTACCACCGCAGGGAGTGTGAGTTTGACAGGGCAAATGGAACATGGGGAGGGTGCTGGGCAGGTGTAGAGCTTCGACCTGAGACTGGGTGGCCTCCGCTGGAGCTAAGGATCTGCTCTAACGGAGATACCATGACTGTCCGGTGCAGCATAAGGGGCACGGCTTCCTGATGGAGCTTAGGCAGTGGAGGGTCTGAGTCAGGCCCCATCCAGGAGAGATGCTCCCTTTAGCTCTGGGGAATTCTTAAAGAAGTATCAGAGAACCCTCCTATGACATTATCAAAGGTATACAGTCAGCTCCCTGGATTGTACCCCAATCCCCCAGGTAGCCTCTGCTGGGATGGGTTTTCCAAGTAAGGCACTTCTGTGGAGAGAAGGCTGGGCCAGAAGATGGGGCTCTGGCCCCCTTGGCAGTTAAATTTCACTCTGTAATAAATCTGCTTTCTGATACATGCACAACAAAATCTCACCTGCTCAAAAATATCTTCCCTGCTGTTGTTCATGTGCCAAAATCCCCACCCACCTTCCAAAGTACAATATGAGTCTCCAGGAGCCTTTTTGGACACACTTATTTTTTATGTATATATGCATTATGTTGGGGGGTGGGTAGCTCCCTCCGATGGAGGATGGCAGTGGAGTTCCATGACCATATCTGTTCCTGCCAGAGGAGCTGAACCCTGTCACAGCAGCCTCAGGAGGTGGCTGGGAAGATTCAGATGAGATAAAAACCCCTTGTAACCTGCATGGCTTGAACCAGCCTAGTCACTGCTGTGCCTGGCTTTTATGAAACTCCCAAAACTGGAGTGCAGAGAGCAGGTTATGACCCTATTTCCCTTGGTTTGGGAGCAAATGGATGCTACTATCACATCCACCAGGGGGTGGTAGCCCAAGTCTTCAGATACCCCATCAAATTCTCTTCTACCAGGCCTGCCTTTCACCTTGCAACCCCCCTCATGCTTCCATGTGATTCCAGAAAGAAAGATGGTGCAGTTTCCTCATGCTGCCTAACCTGAAGCTGTTCCCTCTTTCACCAAGGTAGCTACAGAACTGGATATATTTGCTCACTGACTGCCTTCTGGTCCCACTATTCCCCACATTCTGCTAGCAGGACCCTGAGGCTACCTGAAGTTCCCCCCCACACACAATTAAACCCATGCCTCTGGAGGAAGGCAAAAGTGTCCAGCCTGTAGTGAGGAGTCCCCAAATAGGCCTCAGTGTCCCCCACCCCCAACAATTAAAACAACTGCATGGGCTTATATCTGCAAATGGCCTCACACTGTACAAAGATTTTCCCCAAAAGGTATACTTTTTTTTTTGAGAGGTTTTTGCTATATAGTGTGTATGCTCATCAGAAAGACAGAGACAGAGAGACAGAAAGTGATAAATCACCCCCTAGGGTGGGAATGGCCATGCAGCAATCCCTTTTCATGTACACGTGGCACACATGCACACATGCACACATGCACACATGCCTGGTGTGAGTTTAAGCCACCAGGTCCAGGACTTGAACCATGGTCAACTACATGGGAGTCCAGCAATATAGCCATTATGCCAACTGCTGGTCCCAAAGGTATACTGTTTTTGAAAGCCAATTAGGAGGCAGGGTGGTAGCCTGGACTTTGGGATATTGGAACATGGGGAGGGAGCAGGGCTGGTAGATTCTGCCACACTGGGCAGCTGGAGGCAGGGAGTGAGGGGGGATGCTAACCCCTCTGGCCTTGATTTTCCTCTGTGAAATGGGAATAACAGCACCTCAACACTTGCTGTGCACATGCATCATCGCCACACTTCCCAAATGGAGTGTGGGAGAAGGGGTATAGGGTAGTGCAGCTAAATATACACAGCACATACATCATCTTCCTGGAATTTTACTTGAAGATTTGGAGGTGGGGAGTTTTATAATAAAACTTGGATTTATTATGCAGCAGAATGCAAGCCTTGTATATATTTAAAGAATAAAAAAAGAGAGAGAGAGTTTTGAAAGAGATGTCATGCTTCTAGTGGGCTGCTTCTGGCTACGCCCCCAGCTCCCTGCGGCTGGGACACGTGATCACGCCCTGGTGTGCCTTGTAGGGACTTTAGTAGAAAAGCAGGAGGGATGCTGTCTGGTGGGAGATAAAAGTGCCTGGCATGCAGCAGGCAGTAAGTGGTGACTGTGTCCTTCCAGAGGAAACAGGCCCACACAGATGACAGGACAGGCACTTGCTTGAGTTCACTCAGGAGCCAGGACTGGAACCAACTGCTGACTCCCCATCAATGCTCTGTCACTCATCCCCTTCTCCCCCTGGGAAGCAGCCTTTCCCAACTTAGGTCACCTTCTCAGTTCTCCGTCTTCCACTTAGGACTCCTTTTGGTCAGAAAGGCTGGCTCCTGGGTTCCAGTCCTTGGGGGGGGGGGAACATATATAACACCTCTAAAAAGCAAGCACACCTGGGAGGAGGCAGCAGCTTTGATAAGCAAACCTGTGCAGTTTGGATAGTAGACCCAGAATAGATGGGTTTGGGTGGGAAGAGGAAAGGCCCAGAGTTTAAGATTCTCTCAGGATTAGATGGCAGCCGGAAGCCATGGTTAGAAGCAAGGGGAGCATCAAAACAAAACAACCAAACCAAACAAACCAATTTTGTCTAAGATGACAGGCCCTCAGCTTTGCATCCCCTTTGCAGGGCTCAGATTTCTGGGTCCAGAATGGAACCAGTTGGTTGGCACCTGGGGAGGAGTGCATTGACTCCAGGGACAGCAAGAAGTTTGGGAGAAACCAAAGCCATTCTTTCTCCTGCCGGGCTGCCCCTCCCAACCCTGGGCATGCGTAGAAGTTGGTTCCTAATTTGTCTCCCTAACTGAAAGAAATTGAGGTCCCAAGGGAAGGTATCAGTGATTCCAATTTGCTCAGCCTCTGCCTCATGCCACGGGATGGGATGGGGGAGTTGAGCACCTATCACATTCAAGCCACGTTTACTTATCACAATCCAGTGAGAGCAGGTATTTCTCCACTTTGTAGATGAAGAAACTAATGCACAAAAGCTTGTTTCTCAGGCCTCAGAATCTCCTGAGGCATTGGTACAAATGCAAATTTTTGGTTCCACCCCAGACCTACTCAGAATTTCCCTGAGGTAGACCAGAGAATCTGCATTTTTAATTTTATTTTTTTTTAAGTTTTGCTATAGGGCTTGTGTGCTTTCCAGAGAGAGAAAGAGCAAGAAAGTGAGAAATCCCTTCTCCTCCATTCTCTTCTTGGGATTTTGGGCACACACGTGCATGGTTGTTTTTCAAGCCACCTAGTCCAGGACTCAACCATGCAGCCAGCCATGTGGGATCCAGCTGTCTGAACCTGCCTGACATGTGCTGGCCCCAATTTTTAAATTTTATTTATCCAATTCTCCCATCAAAGAGAAAGACAGCTACTTGCAACAAATCCGCATGCCCAGTCCACCCTCAGTCAGCCTTTATACCCCTCACTTCGCTTTCTCCCCTGGAAGCACATAGGGAAATCCCAGAAAGGCCTGCCCAGGACTTTTCCACGTGGGTGGGACCAGCAAGAGCTTTGGGTTTCCACTGCACCAGCGTCTGTCCTTAGAATCTGCGTTTGTAGTGAGTGACCATCGGGTGATTCTGGAGCTCACGAAAATGAAAAGACCGGGAGGGCGCAGTTCAGTGACCTGCCAAGCAGTGTTTGAAGCGTCAGAGCTGGTGCACAAACCTGAGCTGTCTGACGCTAAGTCCAGGGCTCTTTTCAGCCCATTCCAGAAGCTGGAATCATCTTCTCTGTGCCTGTCGCAGTGTCTGCCACACAGGTGCACAATAAACTTTCCCAGAGTGAGCTAACGAAAGAATGAATGAATCATCCAGCCCTAGCTGCTTCCGGTGGGGGTGAGGGCGGAGCGGGACCCTGTTTTAGAGGAGGGGGGGCTTAGCGTTGCTGAGACTCTTAACTTGCAGACCTGGACTATGTCACTTACAGAAAAGCCACTGGCAGAAGATCCGGACCATGGTGAACCTGCCGGTCATAAGCCCTTTCAAGAAACGCTACGCCTGGGTTCAGCTGGCGGGGCACACGGGTGAGCGTGGGGGCGGGGGCGGGAGGCTGAGGGGAGCCTGGGACTAGAAGAGGTCGGGATGCGCTAACTGCCGACTGTCTGCAGGGAGTTTCAAGGCGGCGGGCACAAGCGGGCTGATCCTGAAGCGCAGCTCAGAGCCAGAGCGCTACTGCCTGGGGCGACTGATGGCTGACGCGCTGCGCGGCTGCGTGCCTGCCTTCCATGGCGTGGTGGAGCGCGACGGCGAAAGCTACCTGCAGTTGCAGGACCTGCTGGACGGCTTCGACGGGCCATGCGTGCTTGACTGCAAAATGGGTGTCAGGTGCGCGTGCCCTGCTGGGCCAGGCGGGGACGAGTGGGGGCCCGAGGACGAGCGCTCGAAGTGGCTGCTCAGGGCGAGCGCTCGATGTGGTCCTGAGGTGCGCCCCCTCAAGCCCTGGCCTCTGCCTGTGCCCCCAACAGGACTTACCTGGAGGAGGAGCTGACCAAGGCCCGCGAGCGGCCGAAGCTGCGGAAGGACATGTACAAGAAAATGCTGGCGGTAGATCCGGCGGCGCCCACCGAGGAGGAGCACGCGCAGCGAGCTGTCACCAAGCCGCGCTACATGCAGTGGCGGGAAGGCATCAGCTCCAGCACCACGCTTGGCTTCCGCATCGAGGGCATCAAGGTGGGCAGGCCCGCTTCGCTTTGCACTGCCCAGGGGCTTCCGTGTCCTTTCCAATTTGTGGACCCCCCCACCCCCAACACCGTTTCCCAACCCCCACCGCTACCACCAAGATACGCTCTCTCATCGTCCCCAGCAGCCAACGCCCTGGGAGGTGCAGTTGCTCTGGCCTGCCTGAATCTTCCCTCGGGGCGGATTCGGCCTCCTGACACTTCCTGTCTCACCTCCTTCAGAAAGCTGATGGCTCCTGCAGCACCGACTTCAAGACCACGAGAAGCCGGGAGCAGGTGATTCGCGTCTTTGAGGAGTTTGTACAAGGAGATGCAGAAGTGCTGGTGAGCGCCAGATGGGAGCCCAGAACCCTGGGGTGTTGGGCAGCCTGAAACGAGGGGTATCCTGGACATCCGGTCTAATGCCCTCGCCTATGTGACCCCCTCCGTGGCATTTCTCTAGCTGTGTTGTAATTGCTCCACCTTCCTTCCCTTCCGGCTTGCGCCCGCGCAATATGGGGACCTGCGTTGTCTGCACACGTGCATCGCGGCTCCTATGTTAGCAGGGGGTCCACTCAGCGCTTAATTGACGCACTGTCCTCTCCCACTCTGCACTCTACAGAAGAGGTATCTGAACCGCCTGCAGCAGATCCGGGACACCCTGGAGGTCTCCGAGTTCTTTCGCAGGCACGAGGTAAGAGGCTGGCAGGCTCAGGTGCCTCCGATAGGGTGGGGGGCTTTTCCTGGACAGCGCCAGGGCCTGACGTGTGGGGCCCGGCAGGTGATCGGCAGCTCGCTTCTCTTCGTGCACGATCACTGCCATCGCGCGGGCGTGTGGCTCATCGACTTTGGCAAGACCACGCCCCTCCCTGACGGCCAGATCCTGGACCACCGGCGGCCCTGGGAGGAGGGCAACCGCGAGGACGGCTATTTGCTGGGGCTGGACAATCTCATTGGCATCCTGGCCAGCCTGGCCGAGAGATGAGGCCGGGCCTCTGTACCAGCTTGGGCCCACCGGTCTGACAGATGTGGACCTGCAGATGGGTGCCCACCCTGCATGCCAGAGAGAGACTGGAACCCGGCAGCGCAGTGCGGGGAGGTCAGGGCCCTGCCTGGCCAGGTGCCAACCACTAAGAGGGTGCACTGCAGATGCCAGGGGTTGGTGCCCACAGTATGTTCCCAGAGCCGAATGACACTAATCTACAGGAGAGGAGGGGACAAGGGGCTTCTTCCTCAGCACCTCTCCAGAGGGGGCCAATAATGAATTTTATTTCACAGGCCTAGACCTCTTGGTCTACCCTCCCACACTACAATGGACTCCCCTTCCCAATAAAATTCAAAGACCCAGCTTTGGTGACTCAGGCCTCATCCTCTGCCTCCTCCAGACACTTTCCCTCACTTTGGCATCCCTCGGGTACTCAGCTCACTGGACAAAGTGAGAAGGGCTTTTTATGAGAAACTTCAGCACTGGGGACTGCCCAGATGAAGGACATTCATGGGGTCCATGGCAAAAGGACTCCCCATGGACACCTGGGGAGAGGGTGGCTGCTGGTCCCAAAGGCTGGAAGTGGCTGGTCCCTTCCCCAGGAGGCCTGGGGCTGGTTTCCAATCTGGGAAGTCCAGTACTGCAGGTCAGTCCTTGAGACGGGCCCAGAGCATCTGCACAGACTGCAAGGGATAGAGGCCACTGAAATGACAGGCCTCCTAGGAATGCAGGGGGGAGCTGTTGCCACCCTCAATGCCAGAGTTCTCAGCTTCAGGGCCTCTGGGGGCCCAGGAACCATAGGTGGGATTCCAAAGGTTCTTAGGATGAAGACCTCTGGATTTGAGAGGCTTGAAGCCAAAAGATAGCCAGGGGCCTCGAGATCTCCCTCTCCAGCTTTTCAAGTTCTCAGGAAGCAGTTCCTGCAGCTTGGGGGATCTTAGGCTTTCCGAAGACTCTTTCTCCAGCCCAGAAGTCCCTTCATCCTCCAGGGTGGGTCCCAGCTCCACAGGGAGGGGTGAATTCAGCACATCAGGGTCCTGTATTGGGCAGGTAGGGGAGCAGGGAAACACAGAATGTGGCTTCCTTCCTGACCCCCAAGATTAGGATGGTTGGGTGTTAGAGGGCACACCTGAGTGCAAAATTGGAGACGTTCCAAGATGCTGGCAAAGTCGGGGCGGTGCTCAGGCTGGTGCTGCCAACACTGGGTCATGATGCGGTACCTGGGGAGAGACAAGGCTTCATGCCTACCCGTGGTCATAAAGGACTGCCCTCCCTGGGCAGGACTCTAAACTCACACCGGCCCTGGACAGCCCCTGGGAGGGTCCATCCTGCCCCCTGCCACGACGAAGTCCAGCACCTCCTGGTTGGTGCGCCCAGGATAAGGCATGTAGCCCAGTGAGAAGATCTCCCAGAGCAGCACCCCAAAAGACCTGCATCATGAGAGTGGGGGACTAAGTGAGGCCCATCAACCACAGCCTCCCCTGCCTTCACAGGAGGTGGCCCTGAAGGACAGAATTAGCTTCAAGGTGAAGGAGGGAAGGGCCAGGGAGGGCTTGTTATCACCAGGAATCTGTCTTGGATGTGAAGATGCCCTCCAGGAAGGCCTCTGGGGGCATCCATTTGACAGGGAGCAAGGCCCGGCCTCCTTTCCGGTAATAACTTGCCCTACAGAAGGGAGGAAGGGAATGAGTTGTCAAATACCACAAAGGTGCTGGTAAACCCCCTTGGGGCAGCGGTCTTCCCACCTCTCCCATGCACCTGTAGATATCTCTTGCCATCCCAAAGTCCCCAATCTTGGCCACTCTGCTGGGCCCAGTGCAGCTCAGCAGGCAGTTCCGAGCAGCAATGTCCCTGCAGAGTTGGGGAGAAATACAAAACAAAACAGAAAAGGCCAACACCAGAAACTCAGAAGCGCTGGTCCTTCCTGACCTCTTTCCTTAAAACTTTTGTGGAAGAGCTGTTCTTTGGGGAGGAAGTTGGGCTGAGAAAGCCCGGAGCCAGGATCACTCCCAACCTGTGGATGAAGTGATTTTCCTCCAGGTAGTGGCAGCCCTGGGCTATGTCCTGGGCCAGGTGCAGCAGGTCCTGCATGACCAGAGGTGATGGCTGACCCTGGGTCGCCCAGAAAGTGCATCAGTCCATGCAGTCTCAGGACACACGATAGGGCCTGCAGAGGGGCTGGAGAGCTGGGCGAAGGGTCTCACCAGGCGCGGTCGGCTGTGCCTCAGGAAGCTCTTCATGTCCCCTCCCAACATCAGCTCCAGCAGAATGAGGCGAGGGACAGTCCGGAGGCTGAGCCCCACACACCGCACAATGTTCTGATGGCTGAACTTGCTGAGTAGGGTGACACACATACCCCATCACCAGCAAGGAGACACCCCATGTCCTAAGCTCCACAAACTGCAGAAGACCTCTGAGGCTGGAGAGGCTGCTCCCTCTGGCCTCCCCCTCCTTCCCCCCCCC